CATTTTTTTTTTAATTACAGATTTAAAAAGCCAACCTTAGGTTATAGTGACACTGTGAGTTTTGCTATGGAAATAAGTCCTTGGAGTTGTCTTCAGAAGCAGGCCGCATGGGGACGGTAGGTCCTTGCTGTGTTATTAATATCTGCAGGTTGAAATTATGTCAATGTTTAAGTATTTTCATCTGGCAAGATACATAAATAAAAGTATGATAAAGAAGGGGGAAACATAAATAACCTTTAGAATTAAACAGATTTGGGTTCAAATCTCTACTATTTTTCAGTTTACTGTCCTTGGATTATTGTGGGTAAATGTGATATTTATAAATCACCTGGATAACCAATGACATAATTGTATTCAGTAATTGTTTAAATGAAGAAAAATGTAGTCATAAAGTTGTGGTGGTTAGCTACATGCTCATATATCTGAGGTGTGGATATAGAGTCACATTTATTGTCTTTTTTTTTTTTTTTAAAATGTCGGGACCAGCAGTTAGCGTAATGGCTATGTCGCTGGACTCCCATGTAGTCGACTGTGGTTCAGGTCCCAGACCTGGTGGCTTAAAACTCATGCCGGGAGCGTGTTTGTGCATGCCCAAGATCCCGAGAGGAGAATAGAGGAGAAAGGATTGCGGTATGGCCATCCCCCCCGGGAGTGATTTCTCGCTTTCTGTCTCTCTGGCGAGCGTATGCGCCCTATAGCGAAAACCTCTCCAAAAAAAAAAAAAAAAAAAAATTTGTTCAGAGGCCGTTTGCTTACTACAGTGTGGGGAGTACATAAAGAACTCCCCCTCCCCCCATGGGGAATGGTCACGCCACAATCCCTTTTCCTTCCTTTCTTCCTCCTTTTGGGATTTTGGACACACAAACATGCTCCAGGTGTGTTTTTCAAGCCACTGGGTCTAGGACTGGAACCATGTGGTCTGTCATGTGGGATCCATTCGCCTTAATCAGTACACCACTGGCGGGCTCCATGTTGCCTTACTATTTAAATGTAGCTTTGTTATAAGTGGATGTGGTTTAGCAAAGTCAGATGAATGAATACAGGACTAGAAAAAGTGTAAGTCATCAATAAAGTGCTAACTATGGTACAAATTATGTATGCAGTGGGAATTAAGTAACGGGAAGTGTTAGGAGAGTAGTTCATGGTGAATATTGCCTTTCAGGAGATTTTCAAGAGGTTAGATTTGTTTATGAGCTGCTCATTGTTCCTGATATGCTGAGTAGGAGAAGGAAGGAAATAGAGCCTAGTGCCTAGAGACTTGCCCCCAGAACCTAGAACCCTAAACCCCATCTTCTTCCTTTGGCCCCAGACTAGAGGCAGCTTTGTTTACTTGTTCTATGATATTATAAAAGTGACTGGGAGGATTGTTGATGGACACTAAAATCAAAGATGGATTTAGAGAGGGACCAGCAGTTAGTGTAATGGCTATGTTGCTGTATTCCCACGTAGTCGACCATGGTTCGGGTACTGGACCCTGTGGCTTGAAACTCACACTGGGCGCATGTGCGTGCGTGCCCAAGATCCTGAGAGGAGAATGTAGGAGAAGGGATTGCGGCATGGGCATCCCCCCTGGGGGATGATTTCTCGCTTTCTATCTCTCTGTCTTTCTCTGTCTGTCTGGCGAGCACATGAGCCCTATAGCAAAAACTTGTCAAAAAAAAAAAAAAAGATGAATTCAGAGAGACTTAATTCATCAGAAAGCAGAGACTGGAATTAATTTCATGGTACCAGGTAACACACAAGCGAGGTCCCTGAAGAACCATTGAGAACTGTGGAGTTATGGCAGAAATGAAAATAAGCAAGGACCCTTCCAGCTTCAGATGGGAGGAGAATCTGCAGATTGCATAGACCCCACTGCGTGACAGATTGATACTGATGATCAGACAGGAGACTGCAGTGCGTTATAAGTGTGCACTACAGGACTCACTCATTGTTTACAGACCGCGATGAAGAAGTCTGAGCAGAATATTCGCGTGCAGGCGATTGGTACCTTGAATAGTGCCATACCTAAATACTGCTAATTTGGCTGTTATCTCTGGTGAGAGCTCTTCTCCACTTCTGTATGCTATTTTATGTAGCTGGAGTTTTTTAAGGGTATCTCACAAAAATACTTTTTGTGGTTGTTGTTTTGGGCCAAAAACATTACAGTCTCACAATCGTGAGATGAGAACAGAGAAAACCTACTGAAGTGGTCTCTCATGTTATGATGTAGGACCCTGCCTCTGTTCTTTCCCATTCTCTATTCTAATCAGTGATTTTCACAGCAGAGTATCCTCATCACATTTACAAATGGCATGAAGCTGGGAGGAGTAGGAAATACGCTGGATGGGTCTAAAAATGATAATGAGAAGCAGTAGAGATGGGCCTAATCTGAGAGAGTAAACGTTTTTATGAAATAATTTTATTAACAGCTATTCTTAAACTATTGAATTTCAGAAATAATGATAAGAAAATCTTGGCCTTTTAGCTTACTTTAGTATCCTTTCTGTTCTTCAGTTATTCTAGTGACATATTGACCATTTGTAGAAAATGAATGTTTTAAATGTTTATTATTTAAGAAAACAAAAAGAATATATACCATTACAAAATATTTTAAAGCAGTTAAAAAGAGAAATAAAATACATTGACATTTTAGCAGCTCTCCCTGGTACTTATCTGTGGCTATCTCATTTCAGGAGTGTGGTTGACTTTTTTCTGGTGATCACACAGCTGGGATTCTGCAGTGTTTACATTGTCTTCTTAGCTGAAAATGTGAAACAGGTAAGTGCTTCTCTCCAGGTAGTGAGGTAATTTTTCTTCTGATACCCTAATTCTAGCATCATGTTTCTTCTGTGGAAGCCGTGGTTGAATAGAAAAATGGATTCCTTTCCTAAACCATTTTCCTTTGTAGGTCTTCCGTTAGTCTTACATTTTGCAGGTTAGATTTCTGTCATCGTTGTTGATTTTACTGTTCTTGCCATAACGCCAGTAATGCTGATTCTTTCAGATCAGAATATGACATAATTTCCTAATAAGTATAGTTACTTTAAATTTAGATCTCAAAAGCACATATATACAGAGATAATTTGGGAACAGATGCTTTACATTGATGTTCTCTAAAGAAACATAAAGGCTTTACCCAGCTGTCTAAAAAATGCAGTTAAAAATGTAATATTCAGGGGTCAGCAGGTGGTGGTGTGGTTAAGATGCTGGACTCCCACATGGCTGAGTATGGTTTGAATTGTGGACCAGGTGGCTTGGCAATCACACCAGGCACATGTACGTGCATGCCCAAAATCCTCAGAGGAGAATGGAGAAGAGGGGATGGTGGAGTGGCCATACCCCCTGGGGGATGATTTCTTACTTTCCGTCTCTCTGCCTTTCTTCAAGAAGCACACATAACCTATGGCAAAAACTGTAAAAAAAATTTCATTACTAAAATGCAATCATTGCTACCTTTGTTTAAAATGTACTATATTAAAAAAAAGTATAGTTTTCTGTAATCCTCTCCTATTATGAAGGCTTGCTTTATGAGAAAGTAGTTTGCAGCCTTGGTGGATAGTTACAGTCTATTTACAAACATGCAAAGCACTGAAATAAAAACTACCCCATCAAACCAATGCCAAGGCACATTGTATGACTAATATTATTCCTATGTTACCTTGCTGTTCTTTAATCATTATTTTAATCAGTAGTCACTATTCATATCTACCTGCTCTATTAAGCATTGTCATATTAATATAGAGAAAGATATCTTTTAAGTATTTTAATGCAAAATGATGATGTGATTATATTTAAAGAAACCCTATACATATATAAGTATATGTGACTATCTCATCAGTGGTTTCCTTTTCTTTATCTCTGGACAAAATTTATTGATTTTTTTTTCCTGACTTCCATAACACTTTTAAAAATAGCCTTGGTCATACTGTATCTCAGTTAATTAACACTATAAATTACACTAATTAGTTTCTACCACATGTTGTGATACCAAAGTCCATTGAGGGGTGAGAAGATAAGAGTTCAAATCCTTGCTCTTTCCATTTTAACTCATACATTGGGCAAGACCTTGTTATTCCTGGTCAAGCCTCAGTTTTCTTATTTGTAAAATGAGAATAGTAACAAAATCTCCCATTGTTTCTCATAAACTTACTGTGAAACTCAGCTTACAAGGTTTGTGAAAGCCTTTGTAAAATGTAAAACAGTGTATGAATACAGGGTATTCTGACTAATTTTTCACTTCATTTTAGTAAAGAACATAATTTACCTTTGCAATTTTAACCATTAAACTACTAAATAATTGAAAAGTTAATAAATAGTAGATTTTAGTAAGTTTGGGCTCTAAGCGGAAACAACTGAATTTAGTAATTTTATTTTATAATATTTATTTCAGTGTTTTACATTTTGGTAAACATGTGAGATCATAGGAAGTCCTAGTAGATAGCCAATTTCTGTCTCTAGAGGGCACCAAAGGACTCAAATGTTTACCTGAATCTTGCTCTAGGTATGTATCTACATTTTTATTTTATTTTATTTTATTTTTTAATCCTGAGAATTTTAAGAGTTTTTCCTGCCAAAGAATGGTAAAATATTATAAGAGATTTGTGGTAGAGTTAATTTCAGATCTCTAAGTACCTGATAATTTAAACAGCCTTTTAAAAAATTGGTTGTGTAATTATTTTTATCTTGCCAGGTATCCTTGTTAGAGCTTGACTACGGTCACTCTCTAATTTAATTATCAAGAAGTACTTGACTCTAGATGTTTGGTTACTGAGAAAATTCAGTCAACAATCCTATACATCCTTAAAAGCCAAGTAATGCAAATGATCAATTTTGCTTCTATTTCAGATGATGAAAAATAGAATAAAAAGTTTTGATGGCTAGTTAGGAGTAAGCTATGCATTTCTTAAATGTCGCATGGTATAATCAGGGTTTGTTAGTCCAGTTTAAAACTCCAGTAGATTCACTCATTGCTGTCTATGGTTATGTGTATATTTGTAGTGACACTAAACATTGCTTTTTGTGGGTTGTAAGTCTAAAATTATATTGAAAGAAATACTCAGATTATTAATCATAGCAGACATTTTATGTATAACTTCTGATTTGTCTTAATATTCATAAAGCTAGCAAGATCTGTGAGCAGAGGCCAGGTGACTACTACAGGATCCCTCTTTCTGGGTTGCTCTGTTTTCATCAGGTTTACACGTAGCTGTTACAAACTGGGTTCTGGAGTCTCATACGGGGTTTGAATCCCAGAACTCTGCCACATACTCGCTTGATATTATGCAAGTTTGTTTTTTTTTAAAGCCTCTAACCCTCAGTTTCTTCAACTGCAAGTTAAAAATGAATATTACTGCCAACTTCAATGTGTCATTTTGAGGATTAAATGAGAGATTGTATGTAAAGCAGTAATAAAGTTCCATACCAGATGCACAGAAAGTACTAAACAATTCTAGCTATTATTATTATTACTACAGGATATGTTTCTTAAGAATATATCTAGAGAGGTGATAATACTGTCTTCAAAAGAGGGGACAGTAGGTTTACACTGGTATTCAAATTTTAGTATGATCTGCCTCGGCTGTAAGTTTTTAAGATAATTTCATAAGTCTTCGATTCCTCTTTTAGTAAGTTGGATGATGTGGTTAATTGAATCAGATAGTTTTTTAGTATATAGAGCCTGTAAGTAATTGTATTTCTTTCAAAATATGACAATTGGGTTATGGAAGTGACTGAATAAGCATTAAGGTAAGTTGCTTTATGTTGTCGAAGTTTTTTGTTTTAACAGAAGTTTACTGTCTATCATGTAACTGCATGAATGTAGTGGACTTTTAATAGATACTGCTACTTTTAGTGATGATAGTTTATGGATTATGAATGTAAAATTAAAGTAGAAACACTTGAATTATTAATCACATTAGAATTTGATTTTAAACTTCTGATTTGTTGGCCTCTTAATACAATAGGTAGGGAGGAATGTCAAAGTGGAGGCCAAGTGGCCTGATTTATAAACTTGGGCTATGGTTTTAAATTTTGCTCTGACTATTTTACGCTTATTTCTAAGAGGTACTTAGAGTTTGTTTCCTATTCTGAAAAAAAAAAAAAGCTAAGGTAGAATATCCAATGGCCAGTGTAGACAAATGTGTTCCCAACGTTGATGATCTCAGAAGCAGATCTTTAGTCTGAATATGATAGTCCCAAAGTTTCAGAATAAGTTAGAAAACTCAACCCCATAATTTTCTAATGAACTTCATTTTTACAGTGACAATAAAATAAGTTATCTTAGAAAGAAGATGTTATTCTCATTTTTGGTAAATTATATATATTTGTGTATATGTATGTATGTGTGTGTGTGTGTGTGTGTATATATATATATATATATATATATATGTATATGTTTTTAGGAAGCCAGAGTATCTTGAAAAAACAGGTAAATTATTTACTGTAAAGTATGTCCTAGGAATTCATTGGTGTGTAGATCGTAGTTTTTCTTTGTATCTCTTGTTTACAATTATAAGTTGATGCAAGTTTCCCTTCCTTATTCTCCTGGTAACCCTGTATAGGTTCATGAAGGATTCCTGGAGAGCAAGGTGTTCATTTCAAATAGCACCAATTCGTCAAATCCATGCGAGAGAAGAAGTGTCGACCTCAGGATATACATGCTTTGCTTTCTTCCATTTATAATTCTCTTGGTCTTCATTCGTGAGCTAAAGAATCTGTTTGTGCTTTCATTCCTTGCCAATGTTTCTATGGCTGTCAGTCTCGTGATAATTTATCAATATGTTGTCAGGGTAAGTTCAGCATATTTTTAACTACTCATTAGATATTTGTATATAACTTAAACTTCTCTTTATTTCAGAGGTAAAAGTAATGATACGTGAAGGACCCGCCTTCATAGGTGGCACACAGCAGACAGTCAGGAAACGATTTCTTTTCAGGGACTTTTTAAATTAGGAAAGTATATGATGTAAAGATGAAAAGCAAGGTTTTGTGGTCAGATCTGGTTTTGAATCTTGGTAAATATGTTTTGGGGCTTTGCAGCAGTACTTCAAAAAATAGTAACATCTATGCATTCAGAGTTATTGTGGGATTCAGGAATGTGCTCTTAGGACAGTGCTTAATGTGAAGCAAAGAACTAAGTATGTTGCTTATTCCTTTAAGATTAGATCTAGTCACAAGAGATGGGTGTGTAGAGGTAATCCCATAATATTTGTTTACTTCTGAACCTCTCCGTGCTGCTGCTGTTTCAGTTCATTGCCACCACACTAGTCTAAAACCCATTTATCTGAAGCATGTGCATCGACCTCATTCATTGTACAAATCTGGGGATTCTTAACTCGGTTTGTGTAAGAGAATCTGTTGATGGGATTCAGATGATCTGCTAATTCCTTGCAGTTGTAAACGTTAGGGCTTCTCTTAGCATACATGCATTTTTTTTCTGTTGAGCCGCTACAAAGCTTTTATCTCTCAAAGGCTCAGTGACCCAAGAAAGTTTAACAATCCCTGTTCTAGTCTCTCCTGCTCTAGCCTGTCTTATGTCTTCCTTCTGAGGTAGTTGTTATAAAATCTCCATTAGCAATTTTTTTACAAACATTTATGATGAGTCTGGGTTTCATTTCTTTTCCCTCTGGATTTTAGAAGCTGTAGTGTCTCTCTCCTAGTGTGTAGAGAGGAAGGAGTCAGGCAGGAGGATCACGTGACTTTCTTGAGTTCATGATTCCTTACCTGAATGTGAAGTTGTTAGTGGTGCAGGAAAAGGATGTCCCCTAGGTAGAGGGAATGACATGAGCTGGTAAGTACATGGAGAAGTAAAATAGCACCCAGTTGCCTTGAATAACACTGGTATTTTCAAATAATCCTAACATTTTAATACCCTTTCTAAAACTCCTATTCTGAGCCTAGAATATGTGTTTAGTCCTGTATCACCATTCTATGGCAAATTCTACCCATGCTTGAGACATACTGGACCTCGCCATTACCTCCACAGTATCCACATGCTTTCACGCTTCAGTTTCTTTCATCATCTTCTTTCCTTGGCCTTGAATTCTACTTCCCATGAGATAAAGCCAAGAACACATGATAGTGAAGAGAGGAGAAACCAGACTTGCTGTAGCTGAAGCCAGACATTGTGGAGCCAGACATCCTGAACAAGACGTGCAGTGTGTGAATTTGTCAGTAAGGGTTGGAACAGGGCTAGAAGCCAGGACCATGCAATCACAGCCATAGTTGTGGCATATGTGCACAAATAATAAATGTAACGACAATCAGGTCCAAGGCTCAGCTCTATGGCCACAAGGGGACCTGTCCTAGGAGCAACAGAGTTATGAGTAGAAAGCCAAACTCAGCAACCAGCTATCAAGAACTAAAAGAGCAATGAAAGCAGAGTGGAGAGTGAATTTCGTGGTGGCACAAAGCGCAGCGGTTGATAACTGACTCGACATCTCTCAGCCCAGACGTTGGATATGCTTATATATTTCCTGTTGTGGCAGGGGCTATACCCTGTGTGTACAGCCTGGGAGTTACTTGCAGGTGGAAACAGGTAATGGGGCGATCAGATGAATTGTGTAGGCATAAGGGAAATGGTTGCTTTTGGCAGAGAAATCCTAACAGCTTGGCTACATTTAACATAGGACGCTTGAAGTGTTTATGCAAAGTCGTATTCACTTTTGTAACCCACATTTCTGTTGCAAAGCTCAGAAGTATATGAATTTGCTCTTTTCATTTAAAATTTTTCACAATAAGGGAAGATGTAACCTTTCTTTTTATTTGTTTGTTTGTACTTTCTCCAGAACATGCCAGATCCCCATAACCTTCCAATAGTGGCTGGATGGAAGAAATACCCCCTCTTTTTTGGTACTGCTGTGTTTGCTTTTGAAGGCATAGGAGTGGTAAGAATTTAGTTATTATTATCAATAGTTTATTAAATTTTAAGTCAGCATAAAGATTTATATAGTTCAGCTATAAAAAATTATAAGATGTATTTAATTTATTTTAAAGAAGCGTGTCTTTACTTTGTTGTTCCAGTTTTCTTTATTACTAGAAAATGATTTCTACTTTGTATGATAGACTTGAATTATAGTTTAGTTGGTCCACTAACCAGAATTTAATCACTTAGGCTCTATAATTCTATCTTTCTTTATATATAAAATGAGAAAATTAGCCTAGATAATTTTTAACATTTTATTATGGATAGTTTCACACCTATGTAAAATTTAGAGAGTAGTATAACCACCTGTATAAGCATCACTACTTCAAAAATAATGAACACATAGCCAGTTTTGTTTTATCTGTAATGCTGCTATTCAGGCACATCCCAAACATGTTTTATGGACTACATTATTTGTCACAAATTCAAATAGTTACAAAGTTAACAGTTGTATAGGAAGAGTCAAGTATGAACACTTCTTTTAAATTTGGGCTATTATGTTTGCTCTGAGAAACAATGTTACCATAAAGCTAAGGTAATTGAAATAGTTACAAAGCTAACCTTTTTTTTTTTTTTTTTTCATAAGAAGAGTCTAGTATGAACTCTTAGATTTGGGCTATCATGTGCTTTGAGAAACAATGTTGTCATAAAGCTAAAACCAAAAGATACAATTTTTCTGAGAATTCTGAGATCTTAAATATTTCCATTAAAGATGCTTCCACTCCATTGATAGCCTAGAATTTATAGATTTGGAAAAAAATAGAATATTGCCATCTATTTTGTTTATAACATGTCTTGTAGTCTGATGGTTTGGTTAGGGAACAAAACCATTTGTAGACATCTATTATGTGAACCCCAGTCAAAACAGATCTAAAAGACAATTTTATACCATTTTACTTTGATTTCTGTCTTCTCTAAATTCTCCTTTAGGAATTCTCTAAAACATGTTTTTTTTTTTTTTGAGAGATTTTTGTACAGGAAATGTGCACTCACCAGAGAGACAGAGAGAAAGCAAAAAATCACCCCCTGGGGACATGGCCATGCCACAATCCCTTCTCCATTCTCCTCTCAGAATTTTGGGCACGCACATGTATACTCCCAGTGTGAGTTTCAAGCCTCTGGGTCTGGGATTCAAATTGCAGTTGGCAATGAGGAAGTCCAGTGACGTAACCATTATGCCATCTTCTGGTCCCATGGAATTCTCAAATTCTTACAACTTCAGTTATCACTGTTACAAACATTGCTGTAGATTCTCATTTCTGAATTCTGGTGAACTCTTGGACATTTCCAATTAGGTGTTGTTTCTAACATCACAGAGTTAACTACGCCAAAGTCTGATACAAACTTTTTATTCAAAATTATCTTCGTTTTCTCATTCCTCTTTCTTTTTTAGTTTTAATTTCAGTTGCTTAGTTTGAAACATCATAGTAATTCTTTTCATTCTGTCCTTGGGTCCCCATTCCAATCAATAGTTGAGGCAAGCCGATTCTCCTTTCATATTTCTCAAACCTGTTCAATAAAGGAGATGACACCCAAATCACCTGCAATGTCGTGTGACACAGAATAAGCCTCAGGAAACACTGAGTTCTTTCTCTTTCTTTTTTTCTAGCTGCCTTGGTCCCATTCTTGAGCACAGCCCTGTCTTTCAGTCTGCAGGATCTGCAGCATCCAAACTGTTCTCTTCTCTCTTTTCCACTGCTAAGTTAATGTTCCCATAAGCTACTGACTGACTCCATGGGGAGTGGGGTTAATGTCAGAGTTATTATCTCATATGGTTACCATGAGGACTGTGGGATGCTGCATTCAGAGGTTTTAGAATAACACCTAACATACTGTAAGCATGCAGTAAGCTTGCTCTTATTGTCGCTTGGTATCTTTCACTGTATGATTGAATTGTGTGATTAAAGCTCTGAAGGTCTGTCTAAAAGATTTGATCTTTCATTTTTTGTTTCTTTTTAAATTCTTCCAGAGGGTGTGTATACTCCCCAGAGAAAGAGAGAGAGAGAAAGTGAGCAAGCAAGCATCTCCTTATCTGTGATGGTCTTGCTGTAATCCCTTCTCCTTCATTTCTCCCTCTTCTTGGGATTTTGTGCATGTATACACACACACCTGGCATGTTTCTCAAGCCACCAGGTCCAGAACTCCAGCTGTATAGTCAGTGGTGTGGGATCGGGCCACCTTAATTACCACGCCACTGGCTGGTCCATGAGAGCTTGATTTTTAAATTAGCCTTTTTCTGTTTTCTTTAAAGATTCAATTTTTTCACATAATGAAAATCACTTACTAGTCTTCCTAAAGTTGACGGACAGTAGATGCCAGCGGATAGAAATAGGAACAGTGATGGATGTGTGTGTAGATGAGTTATGTACATGCGTGTAGTCCTCGCTCTGTCTCCCAAGAGGACTGCAAGCAGTGATACCCCATAGCAATGAGCACACCCAGCCCCCAGGTCCTGATTTCTAAAGACCATTCTCCAGCAAAAGTTCTTGGGAAAAATGACTGATTGTAGGGCTGAAGCAAGGACATTTAGGCCGAATCTAGAGCATCTTGTAGTTTAAGAAAGTAAAGAAATACTCAAAGAAACAACAGAATGGAGCATGTCAAAATGACACGGGAGCCAACTTGATAGAATTCACAATGGTGAAAGTAGAACAGTATGAGTAAGGAAATAACAGTACCTTATTGGATTATAACTCAGTGAATAAAACAAATATACATGAGTCCAGGCTAATATAAATAAACGATTAAGTTAATCAGTGCTTAAGGGAAAATCGCAAATAATTTCTGTACATACTTCTCCCTCCAGGAGGTATTGCTAGTTCCCCTCTCTGAAGCGTGAACTGGATTGGAGGCTTGTTTTCAGTAAACGGAGTATGGTGAGGGGAGAGCAAAACAGCATCATATTAGAGAAACAGGCAAACTACCCGAGGTGATCAACAAACTTCACCAGTGAAAAACCTTGTTGATAATATGAGTGATGAGAATGGCACTTCCCTGTGTAGTATTCTCTAAAACCTGTAATCCCATCTAGCCATGAGGAAAACATCAGATAAACCCAAATAAAGGGACATTATGTGAAACACCTAAACGGTATTCCTCAGAACTGTCAAGGTGACCAACAGTACGGAAAGACTTAGCAACTCTCAGAGACTAGCAGAGACTAAGGGGTGGTGACGAAATGCAGTGGGGTATGGTGGAAAAACTAATGTAATCCACATGAAATAGGAAGCTTGGTTAATAGTAATGTGCCAGTGTTTGTTCCTAGTTATAACAAATGCACCATGGTAACGTAAGATCTTAACAGTAGGGGAGCTGGATCAGGGCTATATGGAAGCTCACTATGTTATCTTTGCAACTTTTCTATAGTTCTTAAATTATTCCAAAATCGAAAGGGTAGTTAAGAGAGAGAGAGAGAGAGAGAGAGAGAGAGGCTGACAGATTTTCCTGCCAAGAACTGATTTTAAATCTTTATAAAAATTTAAAAATATGTAGTGCAAAAAGAATATATAGCACATAGGAAGATACTTCATCAATTATATGTGTTTAAAAGGAAAAGAGATCCATGTTTAAATTATAAAAAGACCAATTTGTATGTATAAGAGACAGTGTGCTATTTTGAATGACTTGTATCATCTTCACTTTAAAAAAGGAATTATATTCTTTTCTTAGGTCCTTCCACTGGAAAACCAAATGAAAGAGTCAAAACGCTTCCCCCAGGCGTTGAACATCGGCATGGGAATTGTTACAGCTTTGTATGTAACATTAGCCACTTTGGGATACATGTGCTTCCGGGACGAAATCAAAGGCAGCATAACTTTAAACCTTCCCCAGGATGTGTGGTAGGTGGACGTGAGTTTGTTATCGTCCCTTACGTATTTTATACACATAACGTATCATATTCAATGATGAGCTATGCTCTTCGATATGTAGCTTAAATGTTTAAATTTTTTACTGTGATTTCTTTATTTGTATAATATAGGTTTCTTTTTTGGTAATTCTCAGAGGAAACCATCTATGAACTTAAGGATCCTTGTGGGTTTTTTTTTAAGATTTAGAAAACTGGGAACCAGCAGTTGGCGTAATGGCTGTGTCGCTGGACTCCCACGTAGTCAACTGCGGTTTCTTTCCCGGACCCGGTGGCTTAAAACTCATGCCGGGCATGTGTGCGTATGTGCCCAAGATCCCGAGAGGAGAATGGAGGAGAGGGGATTGTGGCATGACCACCCCACCAGGGGGGTGATTTCTCGCTTTCTGTCTCTATGTCTTTCTCTGTCTGGTGAGCGCATGCACCCTATAGCGAAAATCTCTCCAAAAAAATAAAATAAAGATACTTCTCTGTTTCATTAATTTAAAAAAAAAAGATTTAGAAAACTGTAACTTGTTCCAAATTTGAGTCAAGTAGAGGAGTAAAACATGGGTTCTTTTAATATGGATGCGGTGTTATAAAAAGATAATACCTGTCCTTGCTGCCTAAAAGCCAAAGATACTGCATTTCTAGTAAAGTCATATATCAAATAATGTATGGTCCTCACTATTTTACTGATCATCTTCACATTATATCTGCCTAAAGTTCTTTCACAGCGCATTGTGATTCATTATGAGTAATAAAGTAAAATGGTGCATCTTAATGTTCTCTTTAGTATTAAAATCATATTCTGCCAAATGTAGCAACATATATGATTTTTCCATCTTCCAGAGGTTGTCCTTCGGAAAATGTTAAAAGCCATTGACTGTGATTACCTTGCAGACTCACTCCCTTGCAAATAAATGGAAAGTAACTCCTTAATTTTGATAAATGCAAAGAATAAATGCTAAATTCTTGCTACTTTGGCTACTTTGATAACTAAGTCTGTGAAACCTTAACTTTCTCACCAGATTAGTGAAAACTAACAAGAGCAGAAATTCTGCCTTCTGACTGGCTCCCTGGTGAGAATTTGCCTACCAGTCAGTAATCATTTAAGTCCTGGTGTTCGTTGCTTTCAGGACCATGTGCAGAGGAAGTCAGCCATGACAGAGGACTGTGCCCTGGAGAGTTTCCAAGTTGCACCAGGGACACACATGGAGTGTGCTAGCGTTTCTTCTTTTCGGTCTTAATTTACTTTGGCTGACATTTTACAAATGTATTTCAACATGAGAACATGTTTTAAATATTTTAGGAGGAGGGACAGCAGGCGGTGTGGTGGTTGAGGTGCTCAACTCCCACATGGCCAACTGGAGTTTGAATCGCAGACCCTTGGTGGCTTGCTTTCTTACTTTCCCTTTCTCTCTCTGTCTCTCTGGTCAAATTAAAAAAATAAATAAATAAATAAAAGTTCAAAATGGAGTCATGACCACAAACAAGAGTTGTTTAGTATTTATTTCATCAGCCCATTTTATCATTTATTATATAATTTGGTTTCCATAAAATGCACTTTGGTTTCTTTTTAAAGAATTAATTAATTGATTGATTGATTTTTATTTATTTATTATTAATAAATAAATTTAGTAATTTATTTATTTTTATTTATTAATTTTTTAATGTGACCAATCTGAGCAGAGAAAGATGGAGAGAGAGGGAAAGTAGGAAAGCAAGCCACCAGATCCAGGACTCAAACTGTGGTCAGCCATGTGGGAGTCCAGTGCCTTAACCACGATTAAGGCAGCTCCTGTACCCTGCAGTTCTGTTTTTTTAATTGCCAGAGAGTAGGTGCATTTGCCAGAAAGAAAGAGAGGGAAAGTATCCCTCCAGTGGGGTGTGGTCACTGTGCAATCCTTTTTCTCCATTTCTCCATCCTGTCAGAATTGCGAATACTCATACCACATGCACCTGGCATGTTTTTCAAGCCACCAGGGCTGGGACTTGAACCATGAGAGATCTGGTTCGCTACTCATAGCATTTAACTGCCACACAATGGGGTCAGCACCGCCCCCCCCTTTTTTATAATGATATGAAACTAGAAACTTAATGGGCTAGAATCTTAAGAAGGCTTAGTGTAAGAGAACCAAGGCTAAGACATATGGTAATAGAGGTCATCTTTTCAGACAGCAGTATGTCTAGAAAATAGAGTGGTATTTCTGCCTACTTAGAATAATATTTAGATTAAATCTTAAAAATGATAATTAAAACTTGGTAATTTTAGTGATAAATTTGATGAGTATTTTTAGCAGCAATGTACCACTGTGGGTGGGCCAATTTGACAAGTCTTTTTTTAATGTCAAATATAAAGTGTAGGTGGAAGCAATCTCAGAATTCTTCCCTTCCTTTATTCACTAAAACATTTAAGGAAAATCTTATGAGAGCTGGGACTAAAGTGGGAGTATGCACACACTGAGGTTCAGAAGTTCCTGTCCCTGGATGGTAAAGAGCGTGGGCAAGAATAAGTGGGATTGCTTTTGGTATACTCCTTCCTGGGGTGACCTGCCTCTGTAATAGCTCTAATGAATCCTCCCCTTTCCTGTGGTCCCTACCTCTCACCTCTCCCCTAGTTGTTAAGGCTCTCCAGTTAGAATGGTTCTAGTTAAGACTCTCATTACTATTCAAGAATGCCTGGCTAGGGACTAGCAGATGGCGTGGTGGTTAAGGCGCTGGACACTCCCACATGGCCAACCATGGTTTGAGTCCTGGGCCTGGTGGCTTGCTTTCTCACTTTCTCGCTTCCTCCCTCTCTCTCTCTCTCTCTCTTTCTCTCTCTCTCTCTCTCTCTCTCTCTCTCTCTCTCTGTGTGTGTGTGTGTGTGTGTGTGTCTGGTCAAATTAAAATAAATGATGAGTAAATAAAATAAAAAAAAATTAAAAAACAAGAATGCCTGGCTAGACACCTGCTTTTCATTTAGAGGAAAGCCTAGAACCAGTATCCTAAGAAATGACAGAAATAGGGAAAAGCAAGAAAGCAAGTCAAGACAAATATTTCCTTACAGAGAATTTTGTTTGGTAAATGTTACATTCTAGTGAACATTTCTGGCTCAAGTCATTCAAACTAGTGATGAGTGCTAGATAACCATAGTTGTCTTAGTTTTAAACCGAGCCGAGGTGAGGATTATAGCTAGTCCTTAGTTAAAATAACTTCTTTTCTTCTGGACAGAGCTAAACCTTCAGGCTTCTCAACCTGAATTTAGAAGGATCCAAGAAGCAAACTGAGGTCAGGTTATTTTCAAAGGCAGCTTCTGTCTTCATCCTTGAGAGAAAGAATCAGGCAACAACTTATTTTCCAACTTGGCTTTTCAACAATTTAAAGATGTCCATCCCTGAAAATTTGGGTCAAAGATTGGTTTGTTAGCCAACATAGAGAAAGTGTAAAAGCCTTGCAAATTTCGAAAGCCTGTGTTTTTAAAACTTATCGTTTTTACTGAGAAATATTGTTCCCCCTTTCATAATCTTATTCCGCATATTGACTACAAAATAATTATTAAAATATACATTTTTACCCTTTACTGAGATGCTAATTTCTTTTTGCTATCAGTATAATAGATTCCATTTTCAAGCATAGATCATCCTATTTTTTGTATGGTTAATATTTCCCATAGTGAAAGGATGCAGTTTCTAAGTGTTATCTATGTTATCTATGTATACCCATTTTTAAAAGAATCATATATTTATCTCTATTTATTTTTCGATTTGCTATAGGACACATGCACTCACCAGAGAGAGAGACAGTGAGAGGGAGAGAGAGAAAAAGGGAAAGTGAGAATGCAAGCCACTAGGTCTGGTACTCGAACCACAGTCATTCACGTGGGAGTCCAGCACCTTAACCACCAAGCCACCTGCTGGCCAACATATAGTTTCGGCAGGAGGCTGTCTCCTTGTTGGAATCTAAAGAAACCTAGTTATCTTTGTAAGTCTAAAGATAAATTTCCAAACTGAAAATTGCTGTGCTGTTTTGACATACCAGGCATCTAAAAGAGAAGTTTACTTGGACAGTATAGTAACAGCAACTCAATCCAGCAACTCTGTTTCTCTTATTAATGCAGTTTTAACATAGGTACGATGTATAGTTTAGATCTTTGCAAGTTGAAACTATTTAGATGCCCTCCTTTTGGACTTAAGATTGATGACATTTCTGCAACTAATGGCATTTCTACCAAGATTTTTAAGCAAGGAGAACTATCATTAAGTTTATCTGGGGTCTAGCAGGTGGTGTAGTGGTTAAGGCACTGGACTCCCACATGGCTGACCATGGTTCAAGTCCTAGATTTAGTGGCTTGAAACTCACCCTGGGTGCATGTGAGTACATGCCCAAAATCCCAGGAGGAGGAGGGATTGTGGCGTGGCCATTCCCCCTGGGGGATGATTTCTCACTTTCTGTCTCACTATCTCTGTATCTCTCTTTCTCTCTCTCGCTCTCTCTGTTCTGGTGAGTGCATGAACCCTGTGACAAAGACCTTATCTTCTTTGTATAGATCATTGAGATTATGACTCAAGATTTCAAAGATATCTAGAATGTTCACTTTTTTATAAGAAAGTTGAGAAAACATGAGCTTTTCATGGGGCTGAGTCCAACTTTGAGAACATTTGTTTAGTCCAGAATGAAATCTTCCCAGCAATATGCCCCAAAGCTTTGTATGCCACATTTTCAAGTCTTGCAGGCTTGTCAGAATAAATTGCTCATCGTTCATCTACAGATGGAGTCAGTGGAGATCAGCTGGCTTCTTTACCAACTTAGGAAGGTTCTGGCTTAAGTTTGTGTATGGAAATTCTTAACATTAAAAATAAAAAGGAGGAAAGTTGGATTCATAAGAAGAATGACTAATTTCAGATTTTGTTTTCAACAGGTTATATCAGTCAGTGAAAATCCTGTATTCCTTTGGCATTTTTGTGACCTATTCAATTCAGTTCTATGTTCCAGCAGAAATCATTATCCCTGGGATCACGTCTAAATTTCATGGTAAATGGAAGCAAATCTGTGAATTTGGAATACGGTCCTTTTTGGTTAGTATTACTTGTAAGTATCTCTACGTATTTATATCCTAGTAATTATTTTATTGTTGAATTTTTAAAAAGTGTCTTAAAGTAGATAAAAAAATCTTATTTACCTAGCTAGGACATTTTTTGGATTAAAATTCTGTTCTTCTCCTATACTGTTTAAGAAAAACACAAACCAGATCTTATCACACTTAAAAGTAATAATAAAATTATTTTGAAAATGACGGTGGTGATTAAAGCCAAGTACATAAGAGACCTCTTACATTGCTGATATACATTTTATTTTGGTTCTGGTTTTTTTTTTTTAGGATTTTTTATTTTTGATAACTTTTGTGTAGATAACTGTTTTATTCTTCATGACTATTTACAGAAGTGATTCTTTTATTTGTGTCAGTGGTTTATTTTCTTATTATTTTAAGGAGTATACAATGTTTTGTTAAGTTCATGTCATAAAATGCCTACACAGGTAGCATTAGTAATGGAGTTTCAGGGAGAGGGAGATTGAGTTTGTTACAATGGGAGTGTGACTTTTGGAGTCAACAGAGCTGGGGGTTCAAACTCAGCCCTCCAGCTTCCCTGCTGATATCTATAAGCAGGTTACACACCACCACTGAGTCTCTCTTATCTTCACTATCATATGGTGTTTTCATGAGGCTAAAATAATACACACCTGGACCAGCTGGTGGCATGGTGGTTAAGGCTGTTGATGCCACATTACTGACTGTGTGGTTTGAGTCCCAAATCCAGCGGCTTAAGAAACGTGATGGGCATGTGGGTGTGTGTGTGCCCAAAATTCCAAAAGGAGAAATGGAAGAGAGAGATTGCAGTGTGACCATTCCCCATGGTAGATGCTTTCTCTCTTTACCTTTCTCTCTCTGTGTCTCTCTCTGGTGGGTTCCTACACCCTCTAGTGAATTAAAAATAATAATGAGGGGCCAGCAGATGATGTGGTGGTTAAGGCGCTGGACTGTCATCTGGCCAGTCATGGTTTGAGTCTTGGACCTATCAGCTTACTTTCTTACTTTCTCTCTCGCTCTCTTTAAATCATTCTTTAAAAATACCAATATAGGGACCAGCAGTTAGCATAATGGCTATGTTGCTGGACTCCCACGTAGTTGACTGCGGTTCAAGTCCCAGACGTGGTGGCTTAACCTCACTCCGGGCGCGTGTGCGTGCGTGCCCAAGATCCCAAGAGGAGAATGGAGAAGGGATTGTGGTGTGGCCATCCCCCCTGGGGGGGTGATTTCTCACTTTCTGTCTCTCTGTCTCTGTCTCTGTCTCTGTCTGTCTGGTGAGCACATGTGCCCTATAGCAAAAAAACCTCTCAAAAAAACTAATGATATAAACAAAGTAGCAGAAAGTTATGATCATTATTTTCACTGTGATTATTATTACCCAAATATAAGGATGAATGCAGCACTGACTAACCTGGGATTACCTCGAGTGATGCCAGGGACCAGGTTACAGGTGTTCTGAGGAGCAAGCAGTGTTGGGAAATCTGTGGATAAGATGTCATGTCTGTCTTGGACCGTTCAAGGCTAGAGAGTGGTTTGACTGGAACTTCTCAGCAGTTCTGTAAGCTACATCAAGTTGCCTGAGCGAATGGAGCTTGTGCCTAGACCTAAGGAATTAGGGTCATCACATTTTGTTTGAAAAGAGAAAAGCAATGCTGAAAAAAGCAGAGAAAACTTATTTTCAGAATAGCCAGTTAAATAAATTGCATCAAGTAATAAGGAAAATCATATGGAGGAATTAAGTCAGTAAGCCCGTCGTGATGATTAATGAGATAGTCAGTGTTGTTTAAAATATTTATTTTTTATACATTGCTTTTATTGACATTTTGATAACTGGACCAAATAAAAAGACTAATTTCAATAAAAGTCCTTTATCAATAGATGCAAGGCAGTTCTGTTTTGTTGGTATATTCTCTTTTAAAATCTGTAACTGAAATTCAGTTAAAAGAGCTCGAGGGCAATGTTAAAAAGGGGTCATAATTTGCCGTAACTCCATTCATTTCTGCACATTGGCTGGCCTCTTTCTGCTGGAGCTGCGTATCTGCTGAGGCACAGACTCTACTGCACACCTGCTGCCGTGAGTTTGCACCCAAGAGCCGGTGCTTTTCCTCTACACTTAAGCCCATTGCATAGAGTAATGCAGCCTTCGATTTGCTGTTTCTTCTGTTCATTTAAAAATAGTGACAGCTACTCAACCATATTTAAGAATTATACAATAGTTACAGCATTGTCCTCTGCACAAATAGAACAAAAACACACAATATGCCCCCCTGCCTTGCTGGAACATAGCACTGGACACTGAGTTTGTTTGAGTCTGCGGCATATCCTTCCAAATTAAAGTGAATGCCAACTGATATGCATGGCAGCACTGTTTTTTATTCTGTTCTCCAACGCACTTGACAAGATTTGGGGGCATGCTGCTTACTGACTTGTGTGTGCAGACAGCTGACAGGACCTGGTAACAGTCACAGAGCAAGCCGTGCAGCTCCAGCACTGAGAATGGAGGCTCTGCTGGATCTGCCTTGAAAAGTGCAGGTCTCTTAAAGTTCCGTAATCCTTTCCAGTACCGAATCCAAGTTTGTTGTATTGATCTTTGAAGTAGTGGACTTATCTGCTTGGATTATGTCATTAAGTCTCTGTATCCATTTAGTATTTGACTCATCATTTCAAAAGGCCTTAGTGGAACATAAAAGCTTAAGAATGTTCACTTGCATGTAGGACCTTACCTGGTCTATATGCTCTCTCAGGTGAGGGAGCAGAATGGAGAGACACTGGACAAAAGAGACAAAAAAGCACGTTTTATTTTAGGAGCTAACCTATACTACTAACTGCTAAATTTAAAAATATAATGAACATTGAGACCACTGTTTCAGTTCTGTGCAAGAACTGAATCTATAACATTTATTAAACACTATTTCTGTTACTTTCCAACTTGTTCATTCTGTTATTTCTAATTTGAGAAGTCCTTGGCTTGGAGAGAGTTTTTTTTTTTTAAGATTTTTTTGCTGGGGAACCAGCAGTTAGCGTAATGGCTATGTCGCTGGACTCCCATGTAGTCGACCGTGGTTCGTGTCCCGGACCCGGTGGCTTAAAACTCACGCCGGGCGCGTGTGCGTGCGTGCCCAAGATCCCGAGAGGAGAATGGAG